GGACTTGGTTCAGCCAATCAAATAACAAATGTACAAGTAGGACCTGGGGGTGGGGGGCCTCTGCCAGTTGCTGTGAGGGATTCAGAAGAGATGCACATGGCATGTCCTCCTCTGTTAGGGGCTTTATGTCTGTATTAATCACAAGATCCCTAGCAATTTACACAGAAAAACCCAAGTGGATGAAGAATGCATATTGATTCGATTTTAACCTCACATTTTACGGGCAGAGGGTTGGTGCGGCACAGCGGATGAAGAGCTGGCCCCAAAGCTCCTGGTTAGGTCCTCCCTGTGACTTGTTCAAGGTCACGCAGTTAGCAAATATCCAAGCTAGATCTGAACTTGGGTCTTTCTAACTAAGTTCAGCACTCTATCCATTGTTCCCCCGAGGGCTGCAAATGGACAACAAGGCTGGATTTCACTGGAGGAATTGTGCAATGCTTAATGATCTTAAGTTAGTCCTCACTGCAATGGCCCAATTTTTTAAAACCAATGTGCTCCTGGTGATGCTGCCCAGCCATAAATAACAGTATCACAATCTTCATAAGAATCAAAATGGCAGATGGCTCAAAGGGAAAGCTGCTTTTTGAGTAGGACCAATGATGTGTAGAAGAAGTATAAGAGACAGTACATCAAGGGAATTGGGGCCCAGCATGGGACAAAGCTGGAATTACAGGACTTGAGCTCGAATCCCTTGCTTGGTGACTTTAGCTAGCTATGTGACTTTGGACAAGTCATTTAACCTTACCGAGTCTTCAAAATAAGGGGGTTGGATTGGATTTGACCAAGGTCCCTTTTTGGCTTCAGCTCTATTGTCCTATGCATGACCAGAAGAGGTAGGGATACAGTTAGGATGCTAAATAAAAAACGCACAACTTGCACTGATATCAAAGGAGAGCAAACAACCAGACTACGGAGATCGATAGATATTCTGTGGAGGATTAAAAGGAAAAGGTAAGGGGAGGTTTGGGGCTGCACTAGTGGAGATTAAGGATCCAGGGACTGAAGAGTATCCCCATGAGGGAGACAAAATACATGCTAATAAAATAAACACAACAATCATGTCCTGACCATGCCAATCAAATAGAACGCCGAGTGTTGCCTAACCTCAGGGCTAGGAGAGTCCTCAGACATCACCTGGTCAGAGGAGGAATTCCCTGTATAACATTCCCAACGAACAGCTGGTCAGCCTCTCCTGGAAGACCTCCAGGGGCAGGTCCTCACCACGTGATGAAGGGAGGCGCTGTCCTTGTAGCCGTCTGGAACGGTCAGAAAGGTTGCCCTGAAAGTCCAGCTGCTGCTCTTAGCTCAGCCCTTCGAAACAAAGCCTAACAAGCCCAAGCCCTCTTCTCTGCAAGAGTTCTTTGAATACTTGAAGTCAGCGATTATGTCTCCGTAAGCCTCCTTAGGCCAACTCTTCCCCGGTTCAACTTACTGTGTGGCCTCAACCAAATCACTTTCTGAGCATGAGTTTTCCTATCTGTAAAACCATTAGAGAGGAGTCACTTCCTCACCATGACCTCTTGCCTTTCCACCCCTCAGTCATCATTCTGATCTCTTCATCTTCTTCCCTTCTTAATCTTGATCCCACAGTGAACTAGATCAACTATCTAATGTCCTTTACTCTCAAATCCTTTCCTTCTTGTTCTATCGTCAAACCCTCGATTATCCCCACTATCTACCACCCACCTCCTCTTACCCTATATGCTACTCAACGGTGCTAGACGTCATGACCGTGCCGACTGGGTCCACTACAAATGACCTCATCTCAACCAGGCCTTTTCTACTGCAAAACAAACCTTTAATTCTTCCCTAAATGATGTTCACACTTCCCATAGTGGCCATTTCAAAACTTTTCTCTCCTCAAACTTCTCAATCCCTCTTGGCAGAGGACATTCTTTCACATTTTACTGAGAAAACACGGGCCCTTCTCCACATCTTAAACTCCTTTCTGTCCTCCTTTACTTCCCCCTTCCCCCTTCTCTCTCTGCTCTAATCTCTGACCTCCACCATGGTCAACCCCTCTATCTGTACCCTTGATCCTCTTCCTATCCCCTCCTGCCTCCTCTGGCAGGTCACAATCATTTCCTCTCTAACCGTATACTCCCTAGACTGGCTCCTTCTTCTTAGTTAGCTACAAATGTGTGCAACAGATTTCCTCAGTTGAAAAAAAAAAACAGACCAACCAAAACCAAACCCCCAAACCATCATGTGACAATCATTCCTTCAAGCAATCGCCTCTCTCTCTCCCTCTCTCTCTCTCTCTCTCTCTCTCTCTCTCTCTCCCACCTTTCAAAGCTAAACTCCAAGAAAAGCGCTATCTGCCCTTGCTCCTCCACTTCCTTTCCATGAACTCACTTCTCAACCTCCCGTGTGTAATTTGGCTTCCAAACTCATAACTCAACTGAAGTGGCTTTCTCCAAAGTTACCAATGATCTCTTTAACTGTCAAATCTGATGGCTGTTTCTCTTCATCCTTTTTGACCTTTCTCTGTAATATTTGACACTGCTGACCATACTCTCCTCCGGGAAAGATTCTTCTCTCCTGTCCTATCTGGTCTAAGTGGGCCACTCATTTTGTAGTATTTGTACAGACCAACAGCTAATGTTAGGGAAGCAAAGTAGGCTTTTTCACCTGCTCTGCGCTGAATATGTTCCACCCCAGAAACTGGTGACTCTAGCAGGGAAGTACTGACATGAAGAAGTGGCTTACTCTCCCTTAGTCATTCATTAGCAACAACCTGAGTGAAAGGTCAAAGGACAGGGGCCCTTGAGTTAGGAGCAGGCAGCAGTTCTTTCCAAATCTCTCATCTCTGTGCCTTGACGCAGGCCATCATCCACCACTGGAATGCCCTCTCTGCCTCTTGGAACTTTTAAATAAATTTTATTAGTTTATTTTGATTTATCAACAATTACTTCCATATGCTTTTGAGTTTAAAATTTTTCTCCCCCTTCCTCCCCACCACCCTCCCCCAAGACGGTGCACAATCTGATATAGGCTGTACATTTACCTCTTAGAATTCTTAATAACTCCCTTCAAAGCTCTGTTCGAGAATCATTTCCTATCTGGGACCTTACCAGATCTCCAAAGCTGTGAGTAAAATGATTCTGCAAATACCCTGCAAACCCTTTGAGTTCATTTGTCTGTATATGTGCGTGGCTTCCTGGACAGAATCTAAGTTCTTGTGAGGGCAGAGACTTGTTGGTCTTACTATCTTTTATTGTCTAGCATAGTGCCTGACACATGCACTTAATAAATGCTTTTTGCCATCCTAGTACCCCTCCTCTAGATGCATTCTGGTTTGTCAGCATCCTTCCTAAAATACGACCCCAGAACCAAGCACACTCTCTATAAGTGGTCTAATCAGCATAGAGGACAACACCTTCATATGACAGAAGGGAGGCCCAGAAAAAGGAAGTGACTTACCTATGATCACCTTTCCAGTGATCTTGGACTAGAACTGGGCCTAGAATCCAAATCCGATGTCCAGTTCAGTGCTCTCATAGAGAATGTACAACAGAAATTCAGTGGAGACGACTTACTGAAGAGTAGAATACTCTGAGAAAGTTCCACAGAGGAGGTGACGGATGTAAGCCACACTTGAAGGGCAGGGGTGAGGTGTGTGCATTTCAGGCCAGTGAAAGTCTAAGCAAAGTATGGCAGAAGAAATGACCCTGCTGTGTGGCCAGAACAGTGAGCAGGCCAATCTAACTGTAGAAAAGGTGGTAATCTTAGGAAAAGTAGAGTGAGAAAGAAGGCCCTTAGGATTACATGGAGCCATGCTAGGTAGACGGGGCTCCCTGATTCTTTAACATCTCTGCAGATGTGTGTATATATATCTCTATGGCTATATGTGTGTATATATCTCTACCTACATAATCTATATCTATATATGTAGGTGACATACATAAAATGCATCCTCTACCTACCCCTGATCTTTCCAGCAGCAGCTTCAGATCTTCTCTTCTTGAGTCCTCAAAAGAAGAACCCATTAGGTTAAATCCTACCCTACTTGTGTCCTATCTCTAACACTCTTTGTGATTCTGTTTCCATACCCTCCTTGCGGTCTCCATGGCCCCCACTCAACCCCAAGTCTCAATCCCTTCGACAGAGACAACTGGAATAACCTTCTCACTGGCTGTCCACATCTGGGGTCAATTAAGCCCTGATCACGTTCTCCCTTGTTATAGCTCCCCCAGGTGCACAAGAACCAGACTTTTCAGCCTGGCATTAGGGCCCTCTGGGATTTGGCACCAATGTATCTTTTTAGCCTTGATACAGAAGTTCTCTCCGTGCCCTCTATTTCATAGTCAAACTGGACTACTCTCTGACCAGTACCCTGCATATTGTGGCTTCAAAACTTTGTTTAAGCTGTTCCCTATATCTGGAAGATTCTGATCAACCCTCTTCTCCTCCTTAAAATTGATTTCTCTTTCAAGACTTCCACTTCTCCTCCATTACAGCCTTCCATTTGGAGAGAAGTTTTCCTTACCTGCAAAAGACATGGCCCTTTGTACCTTTCTTTCATGACTGTCCCTGTTTAATATTATAGTTACTTGGGTATATGCTGAGTTTTCTGCCCTAGATTGTAAGCTCCTCAAGGAGAGGGAGTGTGTCTTCTAATAATAAAAACTCAAATTTCTATGAGCACTTTAAGATTTACAAAGCATGAGATAGGTAGTGCCAATATTATCTCTACCTTAAGATAAGGAGATTGAGATTCAGAGAGTAACTTACCCTTAATGATACAGCTAGTGTGTGTCAAAGCCAGAATTCAAACTCAGGTTTTCTGATTCCAAGTCTAAAGCCCCTTCTACTATCCTAGGATTCCTTTTATATATCTACTTCCGTAACAATGAGCACAGGGCCTTGTATACAGTAGGTATAAAATAAAGGTTTGTTGAATTGACCTGAATTGGGTTGAACTGACTTAGGTGAATTGGTGGCTAAGTGCTTAGGGGTCCTAGGGAGGGGAGGAATGGTACAAACAGCAGTTCCATTACCGCCAGTGGGGGCTCCCAGCCACCTCCTGAACTCCAGGGCATTTGTCCACTGGCAAAGGATGTTCGAGGCTGCATTGTCCTTCCCCCTATCTGAAGACACAGAGAGGGGCTACTCAGCTAAAGCAGACCAGAAACTTGGTTAGCAGGAGGCAGGGGGAGGAGTTGGTGGGGGGAAAAGGGGGTCATTAACCCCTGCTCACAGGACAGCTTGGGCCCTCAACTTTGGTTACCTCTGATAAGCTGCAGAGAAGGGGGTGGGGGATAGCAAAAAGGGACTTTGCCAGGCTTGTGCCCCTCGAGGCTCATCTTTACTCAGGCACTCCTCCGAGAGGAGAGCTGATTTACAGCTGGGTTTGGCCACACTCTGCTTTGTTTTATTGTTTTAATTGTACATGAGAGGCGCAGGGTATGGTGTCATTTATGACAGCCCCAGACACTCAGTGTTTATAATGGTTGCTTATAGGCAGCCTTGGGCTGCTGGGCCTGGAGACTTGTTTACTGTTACTGCAGATTTACCGCCTCTTCCACCTGAGGATTTGGGAGTCCCGATACCCAGCAGCCAGCCACAAGTGGTGTGGTGACTGGCCAGACTCCTTCAGGGTAAGTGACTGAACAGCTCTTTGTGCTATCAGCCCCTTCACTGGGGCCAGGACAGCCTTTTGGCTTCCTACCCTCTCACCCTCAGATTCACAAAACGTCTGTCAGAGATGGAAGGTATCTCAAGTTTATCCAGCCCTACCCCCTTATTTTAGAGGTGAGGAAACTGAGGCCCAGAGGTAACAGGTGTGTCCAGGGTCACCTGACAAGTCGCAGAGCAGGGACTCAAAGTCAAGTCTTCTGCCTGCAAAGCCAATGTTCTACCCACCTTGCTAAGCTGCCTTGCTGGAATGTATGTTGGATTATGTATCATAGAGGAGAGTTGGCAAGAGGGAAGTGTCCCTTCTCAAGGAGACCCAGACAATACCACATTATGGGCTGACCGCTTGTCTTCTATCAAAGTATGAAATGCCATGGAGACAAATGCCTTTAGAAACAGCATTATGCATAACTTCATGAAACGAGTGTGGCTTTGGCCAAGGGGGCGGGGGAAGGGCCAGGGCCAGGTCTGCATTAGGTAGATGGGGGAGAGTCATCTGCAGGCAGCCCTGATGTTTGAGGACAAGGCGCTTCTGCCAAGAGAATTTAAGTCCCCTGATGGTAGAAACCATCACAAATTTGCCATTATGCCCTCAGCACCTAAAAGCACTTCGTATATAGTAGGTAATTGAGAAATATTTGATTGATTGACTCTTCTCTAAACTTTTTTTTCCTTTGCTCCTCAGAACCAGGCACCTGTCAGGTTCTGTCCATTCTACCTCAGAGAGTTCTCTCTTCTGCCCCTACCTCACCATTTCCATGGCCATCACTCTAATTCAAGCTTTCATCATCTTGCACCTAGGTTAATAGCCTCCTCTAGGGGCAGATAATAAAAACAATAGCAATAATCACAAGGCAAATGAGATAATAATTATAAAGTGCTTAGCACAGTGCCTGGCACACAGTAGGCAATATAAATAGTCAGCTCTTAGCTATTATTACTGTTCTAGGCACTGAGAATGCAAAGATGAGAAATGTTATATAGTGCCAACTTTAAGGAACTGGCAATTAACAGAAATACCTAAATCTGAGTGAGACAAGGTAGAACGTGATGGGAGCAAAGAACTCTAGCTTAAGTGGTATAAGAAAATGAAGAGGGAAACCCCACTTCTAGCCTGGAGTTAAAAGGGAGAGTAGAGAATCTCCGTGGCTAAGGTGGCCCCTGAAGGAAGAGCAAAAGTGGTGCTGATTTTAGGGGTGACATTTAAGGCTTGAGAGAAAGACAGCCTGTGTGAATGCTTGGAGATGAGCAAACAGGGGAGGGGACAGGGGAACATGTGGTGGTCCAACATGGCTAGAACATAGTGTGCTAGAACACAGGGGAGTAAAATGAAATACTCTGTGGAGGGCCAGGCTAAGGATTTGTGTTTTATTGCATGGGTCACTGGGAACCACTGAAGGTGTCTGATCAGACTGGGTATCGGCATAGTTATGTTGAAGGTAGTGTGAAACACAGATTAGCGAAGGACTGGGGCAGGGAGATCAGGGAATTAGGGAAAAGGAAATGAGAGTTAAGCACCTACTATGTGCAAGACACTGTGCTAAGTGCTTTATAAATATGATCTCATTTGATCCTCACAACAACCCTGGGAGGTCGGTGCTATTATCACCCCTACTTTACAGATGAGGAAAATGGCAGACAGAGGTAAAGTGACTTGCCCAGGGTCACACAGCAAGTGCATATCTAGAGTTGGATTTAAACTGAAGTCTTCTTGTCTCAGCCCCAGGACTCTACCCACTGTGCCACCTAGCTGCCCTGTACCTTGTACACAGTAGATACGTGCTGAATATGTATTTAGATGCACATACCTAGTGCTATTATGGGGGGGGGCAGCCCTCAGTTTATTCATAAGTAAAACAAGTGGGTGGGATTAGATGACCTCTAAGGTTCTTTCCAGATCTAAGCCAATGGTAACGATGATGGTGATGCTGAACCTCTGCTCTCTACAATTCCGTAGCTCCCTACTGCCTGTTGTCAGTCATGTTTCACTCACATCCAACTCTCTGTGACCCCATTTGGGGTTTTCTTGGCAAAGACACTGCAGTGATTTGCCATTTCTAAGAGTAAAGTGTCACCTTCCTTGCTCGGCATTCAAGGCTCTCAAAAATCTGGCACTCTGTCTTTCTAGGCTTACCTCATAGTCCTGCCCTCTCCACATACTCTAACCACCAGCCAGATCAGACCACCTGTCATTCCCCAGGCAAGCTCAGCATTCTCCTACCTCCAGGCCTTTGCTGATGCTTTATCCTATACCTGGAACGCCTACGTCCCCTGTGAATGTCTACCATACTACCCCATGACCACCTTCTCCAGGAAGTCTTCTGCAATCCCTTATATATCTTAAAGCATTAAATGTTAATTCTTACTATTCTTATCATCATTCCTTAGGTCACAGTTTTTTAACAACCTTCCCCCTAGGACAGGAGTTCTTAACGTGGGGTCTGTGAACTTTTAAACCTATTTTGAGAATATAACTGGTTTCCACTGTAATCCTAAATATTTTATTTTGTGCACTTAAAATTTTTGAGAAGGGGTCCATAGGTTTTCACTAGCCTGCCAAAGGGATCTACAATACATAAAATGTTTAAATGCCTGTCCTAGGACCTCACATGTACAACACTTTATACCTAATACATTTATTATGTTATTACTGTTTATTACACCTCTGTTACATCAAGTGGATGCACTGTGGTGAACCTGTGCAAAGACATGGACAAGAACTATAGAAGATAGGAAGGCATGGATGGGCTGCAATCTGCATCACTAGAGGGAACTCGAACTGATGCGATCATAAGTCCTGTCTATTAATAAGATCATGTGTAGGATTTATCCTATAACCTAGGTCATCCTCGACTTCTCACTATCTCTCACCCCTGACATCTGAGCTACTGTCAAGGCCTGTTGATTTCCCCTTTGCAACTTCTCTCCTCTACATTCCCTTGTCTTCTTTGACATGGCCCTCACCCTGGTACAGACCCTCATCATCTCATGCCTGGACTATTAAAATAGCCTGCTGGTGGGTCTCAAGTCCCTCCCTGCTCCAATCCACCCTCCATTTTGCCACCAAAGTGATCTTCCTAAAAAAACATGTCATTCCCCTACTCTATAAACTTCAGCAGCTCCCTAATGCCTCTAGGATCAAATAAAAGCATCCAAAGACCTTCATAATCTAGTCCCCTCCCACCTTCCAGTCTTCTTACACCTTACTCCCAGTGACACAGGTCTCCTGGTTGTTGGCATGAACAAGATACTCCATTCCTTGGCTCTGGGCATTTTCTCTCGCTGTCCCCCATGCCTGGAATGCCCTCCTTTCTCTACACCTCCTACTGACCTCTCTGGCTTCCTTTAAGTTCCAAATAAATCCCACCCTCTGAAAGAAGCCTTCTCCAACCCCTCTTCATTCCAGTGCCTTCCCTCTGTTAATTATTTCCTAATTATCCTGTACATGGCTTGTTTGCACATAATTTGTTTTTTCCCCAATTAGATTGTGAGCTCCTTGAGGGTAGGGACTGTCTTTTGGCCTCTTTTTGTATCTTCAGTGCTCAACTCAGTGCCTGACACAGAGCAGGTGCTTAATAAGTATTTACTGATTGATTTATTGATTTGTACATGTAACCTATCCCCCAAATGGACTGTGAATTCCACTGGGGCAGCAGGGACTATGCCTTAACAGGACTTTGTACTGTTTCCAGCTCCCAGCACAGTGTTCTGCATGTAGTAGGCACTTAATAAATGTCCCCCATATATTTGCTTAGTGAATTAATTCAGCAAACTTTTGTAAGCATCTGTGCTAAGGGTGGTAAGAGTGAAAGGTGAATAAGGCAGTTCCTGTACTTATAAAACCGGACTTCAGGATTAGTCAAGTGTGCAGATGCATGTGCGAGAAACAGGTGTGGAGTTTGGTCAGGAAAGCTTTCTTGAAGGGGGGAGGGATTTAAGCGACATTTTAAGAAGAATGTTGACAAACTGGAACATGACTGGAGGGTGTGTAAAGAGCTTTGCACATTTAAAGTCCACTATAAATGCCAGGGGTAGTAGTAGTTTTGGTTGTTACTCTCAAGTTGTGGAACTGGAACCACATTAGTGGAGAGTGATTACATCATTGATCCTGGAAGCATGAAGTACATTGTTCTTACCAGCTAAGGAGGCATCTAACACACAATGCCTATGATCTTTAGAGTTGAAAAACCTGGATTTGATTTCTGGCACTGGCATTTATTTACTGGCAGTCTGACCCTGGGCAACCTCTCTGAAGCTCAGTTTCCTTGTTTGTAAAATGCTAATAATATTTGCAGTACCTATTTAACCATGCTGGGTTAGTGCTAGGACAGTGCTTTGTAAACCTAGAAATGTTATAGAAATGTGATCAATAATGAGGGCCTCACAATAGCCCTACGAAGTGAAAGCAACACTGTCAGTCTATCATCCCCATTTGGCACCTAGACAGGTGAAGAGATGAGCCCCCCTTCCCTCCCTAACCACCCATGCCTGGCAAGTGCCTTTGTGCCTCATTGGACACATCTCCTGTGTCCTGGGAGGCAGGGACCTCTTCCAACTGGAGGCCATCACACAATCTTGATTCTAAGAAATTTGGCTGAAAACTAAGGGCTTGGATATGCGGCTCCCTCCCTCACTGTTCTCCCTCTCTTTGCCAGCAAAATTATACCACTATTGATGCTGCTGCTGATTTCTAGGTTCTTCAACCTAGAACACTTAAACAACAACATATGATCACTTCTGGGTTATCCAGGCTAATTTTTGGGGGAAGGAGGGGGACAGGAGTAGGGTGGTGGTGGATTTGGCTTTTAAGGATGGCCTGGATGATCCAAGCACCATATTTTCTGGAAGCCAGGGCTATATCCACTTTTTAATTAAATATATTCTTTCTCTACAAAAGCCCCATGGGTAGTCTGTGGCTCTCCAGCCTGAGAGGCTATGCTGCAGTGATGGAGATAAGTGGAAGGCATGGAACATCAGACCTCTCCACCTGGACTGATCTGACCCGAATTCTTGGCTCCTTCACTCACTGGGGGTACGACCCAGAGGGAGGGGCACTTGTGTTATCTAGCTCACAGTGTGGTCGTGGGGGAAGCTCTCTCATTATTGTTATGGACACTGCCTCTTCTTTCCGTGTAACTCAAAGCCTTTCTACAATTTCATGCATACAATTTCATTATGTTGCAGAACCCCAAACTCTGGCGAATGGATAAAATGAGGCTCATAGGGGCTCATGCAACCTTGCAATTCAATTTCAATTTGGGAGAACCTTAACAGAATGACCTCAAACTACTACTTATACTCTATACTGCAGCCAAAATGGACTACTCACAGGTTACAGGACTGAGAGCTGAAAGGGACCAAACTACAGATTGGGGGTGGGGGGGGGGGAAATCTAAGCCTCAGAGACTTCAAGTGACTTGCGCAAGCTCACAAAGCTTGGTAAAGAGCAAGGGCCTGGATTAATTTTAAGTCTTTTGACTCCAAATGCAGTGATTATTCTACTTTATTATGTTGCCTATCTGCACCCAAAACACAACTAAACTCTTCTTCTTTCACATCTTTTTTCGTGCCATTTCCTATGCCCAGGAAGCATTCTTTCTTTGTTGGATGAATTCCAAACTATCTGTTAAAGCCAAACTCAAATGTCCCCTTCCCATCCAGAAAGCCTTCTCAGGTCTTGGGGTGACAATCTCCCGAGAACTCCTCATCCCGGCACATCACCCAGCATTTCCAAAACACTATTCATGTACTATTGTATATTATTGTCATCTGTTTATAAGCTTGACTGCCAACCAGGAGTATGTAAACTACATGACTGGCTCACCCCTTTACTAGACTAAGGAATCACATCTTATTTAAATTTTGTATTTTCCCTAGGCTAAGCAAAGGAGACACTTACTAATGAGCACTTATTGAATAAAAGTAGGCTAAAAAACGCTGCCCTGGGTACGGGGAACGGTAGGAAAGTCCTCGGAGTGGCCCTCATCCCTGATTCAGCCCAGATAAACAAGAGGCACAATCAAGGGGGCACCAGAAAAGAAACAGGGTGGTGGTGGGGGGGGGCGGACCAAACAACCAGCAGGTGGGGTCTCTAATTTAACATCTGGCCACCATCACTAGTTGTAGCCCAGCTCTACCAGGGAATTTTGAAATTACCCACCTCAGGGCCAGAAAAATGGGTTCAAGTTCTGCTTCTGACATATACTTGCTATGTACCCCTTGTAAAGCCCTTTAACTTTTCAGGGCTCCAGGGCAACTCTGTAAGAACCCAAGTTGCAGAGAAGGCCCTGATCTGTACCAGCAGGAGTTTCCTTATCCAGAATTCTCCACACCATGAAACCACAGGTCAGTCAATGAATCAACCACCATTTACTAAGCACCTCCTATATGTCAGCATTGTGCTAGTTACAGAGGATAGGAATAAAAAGTTGGGATTAAAAAGACAGATATGTAAGAAATAATAAAAGATATGCTTGGCACAATGCTTAGACAAAAAGTTACAAAAACCACGTTTCTTTGTCCCTATATCCTGTCCCTGGCTCTCCTACTGTTACTTTCTTTTACCTTGTCTCCTAGCATTCTTCCCCTCCCAACCCATTTAGGGATGGGGGGAGGGGAAGTGGGGCCTGTGGAGTACTAAGAGGAAGAGAAAAAGACTGTCAGTCACAAGAAAACAATGAATGGGTCTGCGGCTAAGGACGTTTCTACAAAAGGGTTGTTCTATAGCACGAGGGTGGTGGCAGGAGCCTACAACGTTCAGGGGAAATAACTCATAGCATTTGTGCTTGTGATCTCACTGGTATGGGCCCGCAGACAGTACTAGTTCTATACGCTGACTCCAACCTCAGCAAGGATCCTACCTGTGAATACTCAGACACAATAGTGTCCATACAGTGGGACAGGGAATGCAAGTAGCTGGCTTTAGGAGGGTCTGAGAAGGTGGTATGAATCAAACAGCTCTCCAATACCTCCTGTACCTTGCTGAGTTGACATGGACCTATCCAGCTTGAACCTTTATTCATTCCTAAGCCTGACTTTCTTTCTTTCTTTTTTTTTTTTTTTTTAAAGGCAATTGGGGTTAAGTGACTTGCCCAGGGTCACACAGCTAGTAAGAGTCAAGTATTTAGTCTCAGGCTGGATTTGAACTCAGGTCCTCCTGACTTCAGGGCCGGTGCTTTATCCACTGCGCCATCTAGCTGCCCCCTAAGCTTGACTTTCAATGCCATTCCTGTTAATTTTCAGTGCGCCAAAGAAGTCTAGATTCCTGCACAAGCTGTGCTGGCCTTGGGTTTCCTTTATTTGTAGCCTGATTTTCTGGTCTCTTTAGGAAAGTACTGCCCTCTTCCAACACTGGCCCTGGTGATAAAGGGCAGTTGCAGATCACAAATTTTCAATGCCTTCATCCATTAGAAGACCTGCCCGTGTCTTCTCATAAAGCCTCCATAAAAGACTCACCTGATATCCCAGAGTCCTTCCTTTGGTTCTTTCCAAGAACTAAGGCAGCATTGGACCATTTTTGTCCTTATGACATGAGCAGCCCACCTCTCATTCCCAAAAGAAAGGCAACCACTACTGAAAAGCTGCTTCCTCATGGGGACCCTCTTACCTTCCAGGGAGTGGACACCCTGCTCCTTGGCGGTCTTGTAGACGCTGCTGAATTCATCTCCTAGATTGGGATCAGCCCCTGCAGCTAGCAGGACTTGCACGACACTGAGAGGGAACAGAAGCACATAAGGAGTGAGAGGGAAGGGGACCAGAAACACACAACACTCTAAGGAATGCATGCAAATTTGCCTGGGTATAGTCTGTCACACCTGGAGCTCTACTGAGTAAACTACACTCAACATTGCCTCTGTCTGTCAGCCGTGAGCCAACAGCATCTCATTTCATTGAGGGGGCAACTAAGGAGAAAGTGACTTGTCCCATGGTAACAGGAAAGGCCTCCTGCAGAAGGTGGGATCTGAGTCAAATCTTGAAAGAGCTCACTGAGCAGGGGAGTGACATAACAGGACTTAGGCTTTAGAAATGCCACCTTGTCAACTGAATGGAGGAGGATGGATTGATGTGCAGAGAGACTTAGGGCTGCTGCTGTACTCCAAATGAGAAGTGATAAAAACCTAAACTAGGGTTGTGGCAGTATAAATGTAGAGATATTATGAAGGTAGAAACAACAAGATTTGGCCAAAGACTGGACGGGCTAAATTGGCTTCATGGGCTGAACTGATTGCCTAGTGACTTGGAACAACAGGAAGCCAGGTTCCTATCATACTAAGGACTTTCAATGGCTCCGGCTCCACAGGGACATCCCAGTTTCCACTGGGAGTTTTGGAGGGAAAGGCCATTGCTGGGGTATACTTGCTGAGATGGCAGGTGTGGTGACTAATCAGGACGAGTACATGCGGGAATGGATAGCACAGACTCTCACATGTCAGCACCTGTATGGCTGCTTGCCCTGTACAGGCAACTTCTACACCAAGTCACTATGGGCAGGGCCAATGGAAAATACTAAAGTTGCCTGAATCATCCCATGTCATTAATATTAAATGATACTGGGTGCATATGTGGGAGTGGAGTGGGTGGCAAAAGATAGTTCCTGCTTAGTGATGGGACAAAACAGTTTGGCATACTTCACTATACAAACTTCTCTTATAAATAACCCTGTGTGACTTGGGAAGAAGATGGATGGTACCTGGGGGCTCAGAGTGATCATAAAGTTTTTTTTTTTTTAACAATTGTCACAGCTGTTCCTGACCTTGTCAGTGTGGTGGACTGGAAGTCCAGGCACCAGGTGGGTGGTATGGTGTAATCAATCTTGACAATGCTTTCTTCTCTATTCTTGTGGCCAGGACTAGCAAAAGTAGTTGGCTTTCTTTGGAGAGGGAGTTCTCTGTAAAGTACCACCATTCTTTCTCAGTTATCTGAATTCTCCTTCTTAATTCCATAGTATGGTGCCTTCATTCCTGAGAACACTAACGGCCACCATTGTATTGATGATGCAGAGTGTTGCCTGGGCTGGCTGGATGACTCTTATGCTACATTTACCTGCCTGTTAACAAGACTCAGTTGCTACTGAATACTATCTCCGTTATCCAGAGTTGCCCATGATAAGTTGGGTGATACGTGATGGTCCCTCTAATAAGATGTGTTGGGAATGACAGGCTTCCATTGTTAGATGGAAATGAGATATTCAAAACTGTGCTTACCCAGGGCCTTTGTGCCCTTCATGAATAGGTTTGGGCTTTGCTGAAGGCGAGACCTCTTCTACCCCAAAGCTTTGCACCCTCTGATAGAACAATGGGCCCCCACTGCCCAGTGTGAGCAGCATGCACATTTAAACCCTGGTGGCTACTAATTCAATAACAGGGAGTGGGTAGATACGGCTGTTGGCATCCAGTCAGGATGAAGAGGAAAGGCATACTAGGAGAAAGGGGTTTTTTTGGGGGGAAGGAGGAGGGGTGAGACAGCTTCTTGTGGCGCCTGTTCCTGTTGGTCCTTTTACATGGGATCTGGTCTGGTGGTCTTGCTAGGGCAGAGGAGTGCTAGCTGGTAGGCAGGTATATGGCAAAGGATAATCAATGAAGAAGATGCTGCTTCAATAACATTAAGTCCTAATTATGTTTTTGCTTAGCCTAATATAAAAGGGAGTTAAATGACTTCACAAATACAAGATGGGGGAGTCCTAATTAAGCCAGCAGTTTGCATGAAACAGATCTGGGGATCTAAATAGTAGACTAAAGCTCAATACATGTTACCAGCTGTTCTATTGTAGCCAAGATAGCTAGTGTGATTTAGGGGTGCATTAAGAGAGGTAGAGCTTCCAGGAATAACAGTCTGGACAGTCCCTCTGTACTGTGCTCAGACCATGAGCTTGATTTTTATGCTTAGTTCTGGATGCAGAGTGTAGAAGTGACACCGATAAGCTGGAGTGTGTCCACAAGAGAGCAAGCAGGTCAGTGAGAGGCCTTGAGAACTGGGTGAAGGAACTAGGGATGTTCCACCTCGAGAAGACTTAGGAGGAAACTTCAGGAAAAGCTTTCTAACAATCAGAGCTATCTCAAGGTGAAATGGGCCTGATGTAGGAGGTATCTGCTGGAGGTCTTTAAGAAGAGGCTGGATGACCTTCTGTTAAGTATAGCATAATGGAATCCTTTTTTAGGACTGTGTTGGACTAGGAGGTTGCTGAGATCCCTTCCAGCTGGGCGCAGCTTGATAGCACATTGGATGAAGCAGTGACCCTGGAGTCAGGAGGACTGGGGTTCAAATCTAGCCTCAGAAACTTACCTGCTGTGTGACCTTGAGCAAGTCACTTAACCTCAGCTGCCTCCAAAAAAAAAGGGAAAAAACCCCCCAACTCTGTGACTGTGCAATCCCAGTATACAATATGAAAAAACTGATCTGACTTTAGAAAAGTACTACATATAATTTGCTAAGGTGATAATAAACAATCAGATAGTCATTTATCTGGTATGAAACCCTCTCCACTGATCCCACCTCCAACTTCATAATAAGTCTTAGAGAACTGGCCGACTCTCACAGAGGTTAGTGGCTTGCCTGTAGTCAAACAGTTCAGGTGGAAGGTAGAATGTGAATCCAGGTCCTGGAGACTCCTCATCCAGAAGTCTAACTACTGCACCATTTGGCTTTTCCAAACATCTGTTATTAAATAGATGTTCATCTGTAAGCCTTCAAATAAGCCAAAACCAATGTCCCATATCATCCACTTAAGAAGGCATCAAAGTACAGAATATCCTTTAGAAAGATTTGTACCTAAATAGTTAAAATAAGAAAAAGTTTTGGCGCTTGAAGGGATAGATTTTCAGTAACCTGGAAAAGCTGTGCTTATTTTAATTCACACGAAACCTACATAAACACAGAATGTCAAAAAGAGATAGGGGCTCTCTCCCCCTAATTTTACAGATAAGAGAAATGAGGCCCTAAGACAGGTAAGTGACTTCCTAATGGTTAGAAAGCTCTTGAGTGTCAGTGATGGTGTCTGAATCCAGATCCTCTAACTGGGAAGCCACTGTTTTTCCCACAATACCATGGTGCTCCCCTAGGTATGATAAAGCACTTTTTTAGGGGTGGGAGGCAAGGTGGGACAATGGAAACTGCTAGATTTGGAGCTGGAGGACCAACGTTCATAACCTGGCTCTGCTACTTATTAGCTGAGAGATCTTATATCTTTAGTTTCTGGACCACAACTCTTCCACACAACAAGCCTTTGAATACTTGAAAAACTATCATGCTGCTTTTGTCTTCATGTCTTCAGTCTAAACAGTACCAGTGACCTTCATACCACCCTCCTCCCACCCTCACTCTATACGATCTAGTTAATTAATATCCTTCCTGAAATATGGTGCCCAGGATTCAACACAGAACGCTGGATGTTATTTGGCCAGAGTAAATGACAATGACAATGTAACTCTCCCCTTCCTCCGTTAGATACTATTCATGCCCCTCAAGGAAGCACAAGGCAATATCAGCCTTTTTTTTGGGGGGGGCGCTTGTCTACTAGGCACTACATTGAAAGATGTCACAGATGTGACTGCTAAGTTACCAAAGGTTGCAGAGAAGCAGATTTAGGTTGGATGTAAGGAAAAACTTAGAGATATCCAGTAACAGAATGGGATACCTTGGGAGGGAAGGGCTACCTCCTGCAGAATGTCTTGTCTTCAACTCACCTTGCTGGGAGTACATTGTTAAGAGGTGGTGAAGAGTGGGTTCTCATTCAGGGATGGCTTGGATGATGTCTACCATACTCCTTTCAGGCTCCTAGATTCTGTGAGCTTACAATCCACTAAAAAACCTTGAGATCTTTTCCACATGCACTTTTGTTTAACCTCACCTCTCTCCCTTCTCATCCCATGAAGCTGACTTCTGGAGCCCAAGGGTAGGACTTCACATTTATCTCTATCACATTTCATCTTATTCAAGCTGTTTTAGCCTTCTTTTTGGATTTGGCCCCTACCATATAGTGTTAGTTAATCCTCCTACCTGTGTCCTTTGCATGTCCGGTAACTTCTACCTACTGATTTCAGCCAAGTTAATGATAAAAACACAGCACAGGCCCAAGGAATGATCCATGAGATGGTCCATTAGAGCTTTTCCTCTAAGTTGACACAGACCCATCAATGGGTCTGTTCCTTTAATGATATCAAGTCCACCTAACTATGCTATTGTCCAGTCTGCATCCCCACCTAGTCTACAAGGATAGCATCGAAGCCTTTGACAAATATTTTCCCTGAAATCTAGGTTATTATTAGCCTATTTATTGAGCACAATGCTCAACCCTGCCTTGGTTCCTAGTAGCTTCACAGAAAGGAAACCAGCTTTTCTGCATTCACAGCCACACAATCCTACCCTTTCCAGATCAGGCTGATTTAAAATCCAAGTGAAAAGGATGTGCTGGTCTAAACTCAAAGGGACAATAATTTGGTCAATATTTAGCTGTTCCATCCAATCACCCTTCAATTGTGCCTTGGAGTCTCATGTCAGGCTGTCCCTCTGGGCAGCCCATGGCACCGATTTCTTCTTCCAGACATTTCTAGGTTCAGGGTATTGATCGTCTCTGTCCAATTTGCAGGCAGCAAGACGTGTCCAAGCCACCGAGTACAGTCCCCTTGGCTCTGGAGGGCAGAGAATGGCCCAGTGTGATGGGGAAGGAAAAGTGATTTGGTTCATCATCGTGGGCACTAACCCAATCACAAGAA